GAGATGGAAAAGGCAGGTCGGAGCTCTGTCTGATTTTACAGTCTAAGCCAGCTGAGCCAGAAACACTGACGGGATGGGGTCAGGGTCCTCTGGTTTGCCTGCGTGCTCCTGTGCTCAGGGCAGCTGGAAACACAGAACCAGCCAGGCACACAGGACGCCCGTGGCGGCTCAGCCCCTCCCTCTGCTTGCTCCCCGCGCTGATGTGCTGCGGGGCCTGGGGCCCCGAGGGCTGAGCACCCACCGGAGCGCATGGCAATGAGGCGCAGGTCTTCTCAGGGCCTGCCGTCCTGCAGAATCTTGGGCCTGCATTCGAGGCCACGCCGCTCCTTCCAATCAGCACCGGTGCCTCGCGGGCAGCGAGGTTTCTGGGGAAGATGACCTTGCTCCGGGCGCCCCTCTGAGCCCAGAGGGGGGCGGGGGAGGGGAGGCGGGCTGCAGCCCACAGGCGGGGGGGGGGGGACCCCAATGAGCGGCCTTAGCCATGCGATAGCGCTTCCCAGTGAGGAGAGATTCCAGGGTCTCCCAGGGCCTCCTCGTCCCAATCCAGGGACTCGCCCCTCCCTCCTCCCTGGGGTGGCTGCAGCACTGGCTAAGGCCACACCCCGCCTTCTGCAAACTCCTTCCCTCCGGGCAGCTGACCGGCTCAGCCCGGTCCCCACCCAGCTCTCCCGGCTCCTCCTCTAGGCTGGGTTAAGAGGGTGGCTGGAGGGCACCCCCCCCCAGGTGTCCTCAGACTGAGCCCAGAGAGGACAGTTGGCTCTCCCACACGCCAGCTTCTACGGGAGCCGAGAGGAGCCCCTTCAGACGGGGAGGGGGTGCTGTAAGGGCTGCCTGTCCCGAGTCCCTCAGAGCAGACGTTCTATCCTTCTCTGGTCCTTGTTCTGTGGCCCGCCCCGCCCGGGGGACCAGGCTGTTCAGGAGGAGGTGCCTCCAGCCAGTCCCCCCGAGACACAGCTCCCCTCACGGCACGGAAACCCAGCCGCGCCTGTCAGCGTGTTTATCACCGTGGCCGAGAGCGGTTCCCGAGCAAAGTCCGGTCTGCTCAGAAACTCCCGAGTGATCTGCGGGTCACGGGGCCGCGGGTCAGACGTGACGCACCCCTGCACTCGGAGAGCCACAGCGGCGCGGGGGCTGCGGGCGGAGCGGGGGTGCAGCCCCCCAGCCGCTGCCGCTCTGGAGCCTGACGGCCTGCCTGGGCACACGGTCCCTCCTCTGTACCCGTCCCCCCCTCCCCCCGCTGGGGACTCACTGCTCTGTGTCACAGACCCCTTTGCCCTGCCCTCCACCCCGGACGCCACACCATAGAATATAACCAATAGTGCAGGCCGGAGCCAGCACCCACAGACGCTCACTGCTGCAGACGGGCGTCTGTGCCCCCTCTCATGTAGACTCCTCAGGCCCCAGGTGGTGGTGCCGGGAGGCGGGCCTGGGGGTGACTGGCCGGGAGCTCAGCCTCCTGCACCAGCTCAGCGTCCCCATGAAGTCACCGGGCTCCCTGGCCGCACCCTTCACGTGGGGGCACCGGGAGCGGGCGACCGGGTGTCTGCGAACCAGGAGCCCTCCCCACACACGGCGCCGGCCAGCGCCTCGCCCTCCGTCCCCCGCCCCCGTCCCCCCTGCAGAGCCCTGAGGGGGAGGCCCAGTGCTCCTGTCACCGCAGCCGCCCGGGCCCGGACCCTCGAGTTCACACACTCCGCCAGCCTGCGGGGCTCAGAGCGCCTCACGTTCTCCCGGCCCCCGTGCCAGGGGACTATCTGAGCGCCTGCGCCTCTGCCTCCAGACTCCAAGTCCCAGGGAGCGGGGGGCCGGGGGCTCCTCGGCGCCCACAGGACCCGGAGGCCCTCGGTGCCGGGAAGGAAGGAAGGAAGGAAGGACACTCGGGCGGCACATGGTGCGGCCGAGCGCACCCAGAAAGCCTCTCATCTACACACCTCTCCCCACGCCCACCCCCGCCATGCCTGTCTATCAGACCGTGAAGACTTGCCCAAGAGCCCCCTCCCCCTCTGGGAATCAGAAAGAGGGGATTTACACCAATTTTTCTGGGTTCTAACGTCTTCATTCTGTCCCCCACCCCAAGGGGCCTCCAGTGAATGCAGACGCACCCACACAGCCTGAGAGGTGAGCGATGGCCTGTTTCACACCAGGGAGAGCATGAGGGAGAGAACACCGCTGCCCACACCCACCATGACCCACACGTGCGCGGGCACACACACACACACACACACACACACACATACACACATGCACACACACACACGCGCGCGCACACACATACACGCACACGCACACATACACACAGAGAGACACACATACACACACACATACATACACACACATACACACACAGGGACACACAGGGACACACATACACACACATACACACACACACATACACACATGCATACACACGTGCGCGCACACACACACATACACGCACACGCACACATACACACACACAGAGAGAGACACACACATACACACACAGGGACACACACACATA